GGATGGGGGTCTCCAGTGGGATGGGGGATCTCCATCAGGATGGGGGTCTCCAGCTGCTGTCCACGCGCAGACCCACCATCACTGCATGTCCCCATGGCAGATGCTGGTGGGAGATGGAACCACTGCCGTGCAGCCCAAACTCAAGTGGACTGCCCGACTTCTCGGTGACCCTGGCCACAGGTTCCCCTTGAGGCGGGAGCCCAGGAGGAAGCCTCAGGAGGGGCTTTTGGCATGTCTGTGCCAGTGGGCATGGGCAGACGGTGATGGGGGACGGTCCCTTTGCGTTGGGCTCATGACTGCAGGGGTTGGACCGTGATGCCAAGGGTGGCAGACAGCCAGGAGCGTGGCTTGGCACGGCACACCATCCTCATCATCCTCATCCCCATCCTCATCCTCATCCGCCGCTGGCAGGACCCCGCTGTCTCGTCTCCCTCTGCACCCTGGCAGCAGACGGCGGCTGCTGCTCATCTGTAATTAATTGTCACTAATAACCCCAGCGCAGCTCGCTCCTTGCCACGAGGAACAAAAACACTGGCTCTGCACCCAGGAGCTGCTGTTTCCAGCGCCATCCTGCTGGGAAAAGCCTCCCTCCTTCCCAGGACCCCCCAAGCCCTGCTCCCCTCCTGCCCACAGACACGGCACACACAGATGGTGTGACACGAGTGCCATCGTGGGTGACACAAATGCCATCACAGCCGCCCGATGCTGACAGCAGCTCTGTCTCTGTGCAATAAACATCAGAGCTCAGCCCCAAACTCATTTGTGGGGTTTGCTGCTGCCCCACCCTGCTGGTGGTCCCTTCTCCCAGGGTCTGACACCCCATCACCCCCTCCTCCTGGGCAATACGGGCAGCGGGGTGCAGGCAGAGCCCCCGCTCTGGCACCACTCCTGCCTGCACCCCACCATGCTCCACTCTTTTTTTTTCTTCCCCCCGCCACCGGAGCAGGAGGAGGAGCGAAGGAGGCTGGTCCCGGCAGCGGTGGTGAGAGCAGAGGAGGAAGAACGCGGCGGACGCTGTGGTGCTGAGCGAGCAGAACAGGGCAGTGAGCTCAGCCAGGGGAGACCGGGGAGTGGGGACACCGCTGGGGGTCCTGCCTGACCCCACGCCACTGCCCCAACGGGTGTGTGTCCCGTGGGAGGAAGCCCAGAGCGGCCGCTGCAG